GGTTCTGTGTTTTAGTTGTTTTCTGTGGTTGTGCCTGTTTTGTTTAGGTTTGTGTTTTTTATGTGGGTCGTTGGCCTCTGTAAGCCTGAGCGGAAGCACCTTGATTCTCCTGTTGGGAGCAGCTCCCGTCTCTATTCTCCTGTGGGGAGTTTGGTAGTTTTCCTTTGTGTTTTGTTGTGTTAGTTGTCTAGTGAGTCTTGTTTTAGTTTCTAGCGTTGCTAGCGTCGGGATTCTAGGCGGTCGTCAGACCCGTCCTCCCATTTTATTCAGCTTTTGGTTGCTTTTTATTCTCCCGTTGGGAGCTATGTATTTTGATTAGCACATTTGTGCCCTTGGTTTTTAATAGATCCTCTATCGTTCCGTCCAAAAAAAAGAAGAAAGAAACTGAGTGAGGCATGATATATCTTCGTACTCGAGAGTCTTTGTCATTCAAATAACCGAGTTAATAGTTGAGGTGTGTTCTCGTGATCATTTGAATTCTTTTTGACTTTATTGATTAGTTTGAGATTAGTCTTGCTTGAACCATTGTCCTTGCTCATTTGCTTGTCTTCCTTTAGTTTCTTTTCTTTTTGTTCGGGATGAACAAAGGTTTTAGTGTGGGGGAGTTGTTCGTTCTATTTTTGTTTTGTTTTTCGTGTTTGTTTTATCTTTATTTTTTCCCATTCTAGGAATTTTTCTTTGGTTCTTGGTCCATTTTGTCTCGTGTCGTGCATTTCCCTTATTTTGTTCGTTTTTGGTTCTCTTGTTTGTTTTTCCCAGTTTTCTTTGTTTCTCATGCCGGTGGTGATGTGCAGGTTAGGTGGTTGTGCAGCTGGCTTTTCTTTTGAAGCTGTTTTCAGAGTTGAAAGAAGGCAATTCGTAAGAGAAGTAAACATGTTTGATTGCAGTTATTTCCCGAGTGGGATAGCATAAGTTGACCAAGGGACATACCAACCGTATATTTATATACGAGTAAGTTCGGCTTTTCATTTGGACCTTAGCTATTCATTTGCACCTGAGACCAAGATTCTAAACCTTGTCTTTCCCGCTTCCCTTCTCAGGAAATTACTTATAGTTAGTAGCGACACTGATACCTTATAAGGTAAGTAGTCGTGCGGTGATTGTTGTCTAGGAGGTTGGGATCGAGTCGAGAAGAAAAAGACGGAACTAAATTCCGAGTTCGGATGCATATGTGTGAGCCCGACAAATTTCTGAGCCGAAAGTCCTTCACCGCGGCCCGCGACGGTCTTCCTGCGTCTGCGGTGAACAAATACACCTCTGCGCCCAGTTTTCTTCGCCGCGGCCGCGGAGGATAAAGTCGCAATCGCGGAGGTCCCACTGAGCAAAATTGTCGCGGCCGTTGGAGTAGTCGCGGCCGCGGAGCATTCCTTCACCGCGGCCCGCGAGCTTCTCCGCGGCCGCGGAAGCCGCGATTTGCAGTTTTTTATGAACAGATTTTTACAATTCGTGGGGTTATGTTCTATCGTTGGTTTTAAACTTTTCTCTCGTTATTTCACCTAAAAACTCATATTTCTCTTAGCTTTTGATTGGGGTTCAATCTTCGAGTGTAAAAACTTGGAGATTCGACTTTTAGATTTGGTTGTTCTTGTTTTCGACATTGGATTCGTTAATCGTAAGCTTTCATTTCGTTTTATTCATGATTGAGCTGGCTTTGATCACTGTACATGTTGATGTTGAATGCATTATGAGTAGCTAAATTCATTAGCTATGGGTAGGGGATTGTCGTACCGATTCAATTTCGTTTATTTGCATGACAATTGCTCAATCTCTTCGAGTTGTGATTAACCTAAGGTTTAGATGCTTGATCACCATCTTAATCTAATTAATCAATCTTAGAGCCGAAAGGGGAGAGATCGTTCGAACTAGGCTCATTGAGAATAGGCTTGTTCGTTATGGTATAGCTTATGTGTTAATTGTTTCAAGAATTACTCGTTCACGTCTATCCTCTTGTTACGAAGAGTTATTGAGGATATACCTCTAGATGAGTAGTTCGTCGAGTCATTTAACCGAGCTCTTGATTGCTCGTTAAATGTATTGAGAACCGGAAGCGATTGTCCTCGATACCCTAGCCCCTTTATTCATTATTTGAATTTGTGTTTTGAGTTTTGAGTTGAAAATTTGTAGTCTTGTTTTTACTATTCGTAGTCGATAAAGCAAACCAACAATCTTGAATTAGAATGTTTAGGATTTCCTTTTCTCTTTTCTTGTGCTTGAATGTCCGTACAAATAATCCGGCTAACCTTCCTTGCGATACGACCAGGTGTTTGAATCTTTTTATTTAACTCCGGTAAACATTCTTACAACACTTCACAAGAGCTATCGTCGTGGAGGTGTGCAGGCTCGTCACCCAGTGAAATGTCAACCAGGTCCGTCTTATCATCCAGGAAGTCGTCATCGTCGTCAAGGAGAAGACTAGTCGTGTCTCTTGAAGGACAAGAGGAGGATGAGTGCTCGTCCTCCATCTCATAAGAAATGATAGAGAAAAATGAGTGGTAGGCCTTGGAGGCCCTTTGGAGAATGTTATGAACTAGGTTTGCCCCAATGTAGAGAATTTATTTTTTTGGCCCAAATGACACTTGTGGATAACCTAAGAATATTTTTTTCATGGATCGTCTCAACTGGCCCAAGTCCTTCAAAGTAAAAATATGACTTCCACATGTTTTTTCGGGCAGAACTATTGTCCATATTTCGGTCGTTCCCTATATCAAATTGTGTAGTGCATGTTTTATGCTGAAAAATTGGTCCTATTGCTAAGAGTAAACTCAAAAGCATGTCGCGGCCTTGAGCGGGGTTTTGACGTGCAGATACCAAAGAGTAACCAAGAGTTGTACCTAGAGACGCATACGCTCATGCGTATTAGAGCCACTTTTTGACCGATTCGGTTTTACATCTCACACATCTTCCGTGAGGAGAACCGTTCTGCTGACTTCCTCGCAGGCATCGGGTCCTCCACTCCCCCCCCCCAAAGACGCATACTTTACCCTGACGATATTCCTCTCTGCCTCCGTACGCTTATACGGATGGACCAGATGGGATACCCTTCATTCAGATTTGTGTAGCCGGTCCTGTAACGCCCAATATATTATTTACTATTTATGGAGCTCGACTTTATTTCCATAAATATTAAGTTTCCTAATTTAATGCATTTATTTTTATTAATTGCATTGAATTAAATAATTAGTATTAAAGTCTAAGCCATGGAGAATTTATTCTATTTTAATTATTAAAGTCAAATTTAATTAGCCCAACTGTTTGTTATATTTTTAAAACCGAGCCTTAGATTTAATCGAAATTTTATATAAGCGAATCGAAGGCGAATAATTTAATTATTCGAGCCCAATGGATTTTGAGCGGATCCAATTCATTAATCGGCCATTTTTAATTCGTAGTCGAATTAATTTCCATGCCCAAGCGATAATGTAAATATCGAGCCCTTGTAGTATTTTAGTTCCGAACCCAATTAGCATATTAATTATCGAGCCCGAGTCAAAATTATTTATCGAGCCCAAGACGATTTAAAATCGAGCCTGATAAAAAGCCCAACACACACAAGAAACCCTAGCATTTGTACATTCTATAAATAGAAGGCCATATCTTCCCATAGCTCATTTTTACACCACACATACCCTATCCTCATTTCAAGAGAGAAAATTACTATTCATCTTCTTCAAGTTGACCTTCCACCATAGCCATGGCTTGAGCTTCAAATCTTCAAGATCCGCCACCCCTCTCCGCTCCGGCGAACCACCGCCGTCCTCCGACGACCTTCACGACCGATGACCCGCAGCTCAAACTCCAAAATCGAGCTGCTCACGGCCATCTCCTCCATGACTTGCTTCCAGCTCCGACGACCAGCTCCCAGCTCCAACGACCTTCGAGCGTGACCCAGCACCTTGTTTCCAAGCTCCGCCACGCAACTCCAAGCTCGGTTTTCCGGCGAGCCCATCCCACGTCCGAGCTGACAGCTAGACTTTCGTCCTCAGCTCCTCCCCCTCGCGACCACCACCGCGCCAGCTCGAACTCCGCCGTTCACCTGCAGTTATGCATCCGTACGCGCGTCAGCAGCACCAAGCCGTCGCGTCCCAACAGCTTCTTTTCCGGTGACTCCGTCCTCACGCCATCTTCGCCGGGAACCTGCAAATCCGAGCTCACGCGCCTCCCACAGCTCACCTTCGTGAGTTTCTGACCAGCTCGTTCACAGCAGCTCAAGGGTCACCGAAAATCTCAAGCTCCACCCGCAGCTACTGTTCACGCGTGTCCATTGCGACCAAGACCCGACAGCTGCACTTTCCGCCCAGTTCAGCAACCTTGAAGCTCCAATATCTTACCGAATACCATGAAAACCGACCCAGTTGCATCAGATTCGGGTGGCTGCCCCTAACCCAACCCGAGCAGCCAGAAACCCTACCCGACAGCGACCTTGCAGCCCGGATCCGTAGTCCCACGCTTTTGTTCCGGCCCAATTTGGCTCCATACACCATTTCTTAGCCCGATCTTTTCCCGAACCGCTCGTTATTGGACATTTAAAAGTATAATCGATAAAACTAAATTTATTTGGCTTAGACTTAATGGTATAAACGAGATGAAAGAAAAGAATGTGTTGATCTGAGTAATTTCGAAAAAAAAATGGGACATACGAGCTTAAAGCTATTTTTCGGGACCTCGTTAAATAAATTCGATAAAATGTTGAAATAAATACCATTAATTCTATTGGGATATCTTGAGGCGTAGGTTCAAATTTTATTATTTTCGAACATTGTTTGGTAGGTAAACGAGTCGGTCAAGGTGTTGACCGGTCGTAGCAATTGTGAGTTGACTAGGTTAAGAGTTGCCGTTTGACTATTTATGTTAACCGTTGACTATTAGTATAATGAGGATGTTACGATTCGAATCTCATAAGTTTTGGATACTGTTTGACTGATGTTTAAATATCGGGACTTTAGTCGTTAAGGCGATATTTTAGAAAAAATTAGCCAGATATGATTTAAGTTGCAGTTGTTGATTTTTAAAATCATTATAAATCACATAGAATATATACATTAATTATCAGACTTAAATGAGTTAGGATTCTTCGAGAATCGAACCCTAGTTTTATCTGGTTACGATAATTGGGTATATTTCTGAATCCGATTTTAAATGACTGAACCCTAGTACCGTCTGGATAATTACTAGCCGTCGTATTGTAATTCGTAATATGTATCGTCGTCTCGTGCCCGTGATCACCTCTAGTCCGACCGTTGGAGCCGAACCGTCGAGTGCGTGCCCGTGCACCGAGTCCGAGTTAAACCCCGAGTGCGTGCCCGTGCACCGAGTCCTTCCGACCTACCATCTACGCACCGTTCCATTAGCCGTGGTCCAAGCACGCCCTTGCGGCAGTGACCGTGGCACCGTTTCAAGATCGTGCACCAGCTAAGTCGTGCCAGTCGAGTTTGTGTCGGCTCGAGTTGCCACGCCGAACTCGGACCACGGTCAAACTGAGCTGCACATAGTCAAGCGAATGACCGACCAACTCCGAGTGAGCTGTCGGTCCGTTCAGTTGAATCGGTCCAGTCAATCCGGACGGTTCGAGATATATTTCAGATTCAGTCAGATTAAGATTTCAGATATATTTAAGATTCCAGATAGATTTAAGATCCAGATATAATTTAGATTTCAGTCAGATTAGATTAAGTCAGATTTTAGTTGCAGACTTAGCAATATTTCAGAGAACTCTAGAATGCCTCAAAGACAATAAATTTTCAAAATCAGCTCGCAAATCCCTAAAATGATTTTAAAGGCAAGTGAGCGAACCTAGACACCTCAGATAATATAATTCGAGTTTTCAGTTTAAGATAAGTACTTAGAATGTAATTTGTGCTTATATATTTTGTAGCTTGTGGAGAGTCGAGCCTCCGACAGCTGCAAACCATTCAGATCTTGCATTTCAGCATATCAGGTGGGGACCCTGTACTGGGTATTACATCTTCTATACTCGCAATACCATGGTTGAGGTATGTATGTGAGATTCCACCCGAATAGGGGCAATTACCTAGCAAGTAGAACCGTTTTAGCTATGTTAATCGAACGCTAGTTGAGATAAGAATTCTAGTGCAGCTTTGAGTTAAGTGAATTAAGAACTCTAGAGCAGTCTTGAGTTAAGTCTAATTTCAGATGATCTTAGAATAATTCTTCCCTATGGGACATTGATTTAGAGATAGGTTTCGTCATAACCAAGTGTTTCGAATCTCCAGTAGTATCAAGGACTCTAGTGCACTTGTGAGTTAAGCTCCAACCTTAGAAGTGCATAAGGGTTAGTTTTGCCCTAGTATGGGCAACGACCTACAGATTAGGTCCTACAGTTGCTTATCGTGAGCGTGAAGACCTAGTGTCCTTCTCGCCCGTTAAGCAGTCAGTTGAGCAGCAATTATATTGAGTAAGTTGAGTAACATCTCGTATATTAAAGTTAAAGTATTTTCGAAAAATTAATATGAGTTTTCAAAAATTAAATAAGAGCTTGCCTTTTATAGCGCGAAAAATTTACTCTGATTTTAGTAATTCTAGGCGGGGTGTTACAGGTCCTACCTTTGGTGCATCCGATCTTCCGCTGGCACATACGCGACGATGACTTTTTGCTTGGACCCTCCCGATCCAGGAGCCGCTATCCTTGTATTACTGGCAGTTGTTGCCAGCCTTTTCCTGTTTTCTTTTTTGTTTTTGGTTTTGCTTTTCAGTTGACTTGATGTATTCCAGACATTCTACTTGTGGATTGTGACTTTTAGCCCATTCAGGGCCTCTTTATATATATAAAGGTTGGGGGTCCGGCCTAACCCTCACCCTCTGGATGTATTTTTTTTTTTTTTTTAAAAAAAAACCAAGAGTTGTACCTAATCACTACCGTTTTGGGAGAACAAAGTTCATTACACTAAGCCAACACAACAACAACAATTTTGAGAAGAGATTTCGAATGTAAATAAACCAAAGAATAATCTTTATTGATGCACACGCGATAAAATAAGCAAACACTTGTACAAAAACTGAAAAAAGAGCCTAATATGCCGTATAAGTGCAAAATACATTGTAGTGGGACTGATGTACAAAGGTAGCAAGCCTAATAATAATATTACATGAAAAAAAGTCTCTATAATGAGCTTTGCATGATACATTATTACAAATAACACCTAGTTTCAGTTGAAACGATCTTTGGGTCTGAAGAGATCAATGGAACGATCATGCAGTTGTTGGATAGGTCTGGAATTTGCTTCCGAGTCCTGTAAAAATATAAAACATAAATCTACTAAAAACGAAAGATCGATACATTTATAGTAAATAATTGATTTTATCAGAACTACTTACATCGTGGACAGCTTCGCGAATCACTCGAACTTGTTCTCTTGAAACGGTTCTCACCTAGAAACGGTTAACAATATACAACCGATTAGAAATGTACACGAAAAAATTTAAGAAATTACACAAAATATACAGTTTTTATATGCATGTAATTATAGTATATATGTGTATGTATTTAACTATTTATGATACCTTTCTAACCATGGTCCAAATAATGTTTTGAGTGCAAGGAGGGACTGTAAGTGAACCAATGTATCTGTAATACTTTCTACTCCCGAATTTTATTTGCCTGGGATTCACAACACCCACAGAGTGCTCCACCTCATGAGTTTGAGCTACTGCTTCTAACTCCCTCTGCATCTACATTGATTTTGGGGGGAAAAATATAAAGTAAATAAATTAGATAATAATGGTGGACTATTATATTATTATTAATTATTATTATTTTTTAAAAAAATAAAAAAATAAATAGTGAGACTTGTACGCTAAGTTTGGTAAAACTAGCTGATAAGTTAACTTATAACTTATGTAAATTTTAAGCTTATAACTGAAATACTAGCTTATATGATAAAAAATTTGGTAAAATTAGTTGATAAGCTAGATTAAATAAAAAATTCAATTAGCTTATTTTAAAAGCTACACAAAGTAGCTTATGAGATAAGCTCAAGATTTAAAAAAAAAAAAAAAACTCAAACGAGATCTATTTGAATACAGAGAATTCATAAACTAACTAAATAAGCTCTAAACTAGTTTATTTGACTTACCAAACATAACCTTGATAAGTAGTTAAATACACGCGTGATAACCATATTAAGTAGGACTATTTTCGTACCTCGGATAGAAAGGAATCTGGACGGCCAATTTTATACATGATCCCAATCACAGCCGTGCGATTATCGTGGCTTTGGTGAACCAAATGAACTTCCATGTCAAACCTATTATTATTTAATTTTAAACATTAGCCATCTATGCGGTTGTCTTTACGTGTATTTATTATTATTATAAATATTTTTTTAGATGCCATTACAAAATTGCACATTTCATCACATATAAAATATATTATTATTAAGTGTATTAAAATTAAATAATAATAATCTGGAATCGTCGGATTTGTAACTGTTAGATCATCATGTAATCGTCAGGATAGTTGATCTAACGGTTACACGTCCCGACGGAATGGTTCCGTAACAGCACCGTAACATTTCGCAATAATAATAATGATGATAATAATATATATACCTTCTGCCATTGAGAGTGTGTTCTGCGGGGGTATGCCAATGGCATTGTCTAAGCTGAAACAAAGTTCCATTTATTCTAATGTATCCTGCGCCATTAATCCACCTTAACTGCAACCCCACAATTAATTAACCATAACATAAATATAATTAGTGACATATATCAGTGTAACACAAAGACGGAGCAAAAAATTAAAAAAAAAATAAAAAAATAAAAAGAAAAATATATATAAACTGATGATTAAATTATAGAATCATGAAAAAATATAATCAGATTTGTAATTGATTTATGGTGTGTAAGTGGTAGTCCTTGGTAGTATAGAAGATGAAACACCAATCACATCACATCATTCTTACCTACCTTTACTAATATATTGTCAATATTATACGGGTATTTATTAAGGATTTCTAAGGTTATGAGTCTTTTTTATTAAACACTTTTTAATACTTTAAAAATTTTGTATTTTTGTGTAGTTAATTTAGACTTTTAATAAAGAATTTATTCTTTTTTGGGTATTATTTGGTATTATTTAATTTATTTAAGATTGAGATTTGTTAAGACTTTTTTAGGGAAATTGATTCAATTGGGAGTTTAAGATTTTTTAGAGTGAGTGATTTTGATGGATTTGTGAAATTTATTTTTACTCTGGTGGATATTTTGAGACTTCTATAGGAAAATTTTACCAATTTGATGAGATTTTTATTGAGAATTTGTCTTTGTAATTCGATTAAAAAAAATCTCCAGAAGTCTTCCAATTTAAAAAGTCTGATAAAGTCTTTATACTTTGAATATTGGGTGACTTATTGAGACTTTTAGAGACTTTCAATTGAACACATTGAAACTTTTATAGATTCATAAAAAAATCTTTAAAACTCTCAATTTAATACATGCAAACATTTTATAAGTCCCAAAAAAATTCAATTGAATACACCAGAATGTTGTAAGTATTAAAAAGTATTTAAATAAAATTTCACAGATTACTTCAAAATATGAAAAACTTAAAAAATTAACATCAGAAAAAAATCTCCAAATGTCACTCGAAATTCCAATCCGATATGCATCTAAATTTTATTACACTCTTGATTTTTTAATTTCTGAATTAATAAATGATGTTAAAGATAAATTAAATGGAAACATACCATCATGTCATGGCCCCTATTGATTAGAGTAGCATTAGAGGGATTGTAACCTCTCTTAAGTCTGCCCAAATTCGAAACTATTTCAACCCTCTCACTCAACAGATCAATCGGAGACTGCATTTGCCCTGAATTACACTCACTCCATTCCTGCCGGATCTCTCCCCAGTGCGCCGGACCGTTCGGGCTATTTTCGTCATAACTAAATTCCCTCTCATCATCTGCAACCATTTCAAACAACAAAGTAAACACACACACACACACACACACACACACACACACATATATATATATATATATCTTCATATATTAAAAAAAATGACAACAATATTAGTAACAATATGTTTTTTTACTTACCAACTTCTTGAGCTCTTGTCAGGCATGTGAAGGAGAGCAGGAGAAGAAGAACAATGAAAGAGCTTCCAGAAAAAGTTGTTGTAAATTTCATGATTTCTGTCTTCTGTAGATTTTGATTTTTGATAACCAAATTGCAAATTTTTTTAATATTGGAGTTGGTATGTATGAAGAAGGAAGGGTATAGCGAAGTTGGCTTATATAGAGGCAGACAGCAACAGTTATGATTTACTTAATGGAATGTGAACTTGTGAATAGGTGGAAAAGTTGAATCTGATTGGACTTTTGGTGCAAGAAATGTCTTGGACTTTGAGGTATCTCAATTCAAATTATATTTCTATTTGGAGTCATGGCCCCCACAAAATAAAAATTTAGGCCCTAGAAAAATGTCACAGATATGTATTTATATATATGTATATATATTATATGACATGAGATCATATGAGAATGGTAGACAGTGAAACAAAAAAAATCTGCATCATTGGATCCAACACATCAATAACTATGATGAAGTCAATTTATTAAATAATAGTCAAACAGTTAATGACAATATCGTAAAGAAGTGGCATATTGTAGTCAAATGTATAAATTTGTCCACTTAGTAATAAGGACATTCTGGTCTGATGGGTCTCTTCCCAGATCTGGAGCGAACCGGTGGAAACGGGCCCGGATCTAGGACGAACCGATGAGAATGAGCTTGGATCTGTCGTTGTAACCTTCAAACCGCTAGGGGTGAGCGTGGGTCGGTACGGTTCGGAGATTGATAAATCTCCAGAACCGTACCAAACTTCGGAGATCCCAAAATTCGATCTCCGGAACCGTACCAAAAATTCGGTTCAGTTCGGTTCGGAGATTTTTTTTCGGTTCGGTCCGGTTCGGTATTCGGGACAATTGGGACGGTTCGGTTCGGTATGGTTTGGTTCGGATCTTCGGAGATTTTTTTTTAACTATTTTTTAATGACTACCTAGTTAAATTTCAATTTTTATATGCTTTAAAAAAACAACATTCATCAATAATTCATCATATTGAAGATTTTATTTTGAAATCAATTCTAGAAGTAACTCTAAATTTTAGTTATTAAATTTTTATATGCTTTAATTAAACCAACATTCATCACTACTTCCTCACATAAAAATTTTATTTCGAAATCAACTTTATAAGTAACTCTAAATTTTAGTTATAACTAAAATTTGTGCAACTAATATTGAAAATTTAAAATTCAAATAAAATATAATTTTTTTTTCTTACAAAAATATTTTTAAAACTTTCATATTATTTTAAATAATTATTTTATAATAGAAAAAATTTAATTGTATATCATGTATTACTAAGAATGAAATTGAAATGAATGTTAATATTTATTACTATATTATATAGAATCAAAGTTGACATAAACTATATTAGTAACACATTTAATGCTATAATTCGGTTCTTAATTTCGGTTTTTCGGTTCGGTACAGTTCGGTACAGTACGGTACAGTTCAGTTCGGTTCTCGGTACGGATATTTGTGAAATCTCCAGAACCGTACCAATTATTTTTTCGGTTCGGTTCGGTTCGGAGAAAATCAAATGGTCAACGGTTATTTTTCGGTACGGAGTGATTTTGGTTCGGTTTTCGGAACGGTTCAGAATTCTCCGAGTCCCATGCTCAGCCCTACAAACCGCTACTGGTCCACAAGAAAACCTGCAAGAACTCAACGCCGGAGGGGTTTCCGGCGTAGAGCCTCCGACGCTCAAGTCAGTGTGTGAGAGAGACGAAGAGAGCTGCTCTCAGAGAGCAGCAGCAGTAATGGAGGAGAATAAGGAATGATTTAGAGTTAGGGTTTTGGGGTTACCTCAGCTCCATTATATAGGAGCAAGACATTTACCTGAAGTTCCCAAGATGCTCTGGACGACTTACTGGAAATGTCCAAAATACCCTGGTCGGTTCGCATTCCGTCCCCCTCCTAGTCAGCATTTAGATTCCTTCTTATCCTTAGTAGCTTCCTTCTTATCCTTGACAGTTTTCCTATGATATGTCGAAGTGTATCGAATTGCCAGGGGTCTATAAGCTTCGGGACTTCCTTAGTCGACTCGAGATACCAACTCAAGTCGACTGGGTCATCTTCAGTCGTCGGTAGACCCTGAAGCGCTTATACTTCTTTCCGGGGAGATCGACTTGTTCTAGTCGACACGTAGAAGTCGACCGAAGGATGCCTGGACCCTTGACCAGAGATATTATAAGGAGTCTGCGGAGGGAGTCGACTTTGGCTAAGTCGACTCGGTTATTTCCGAACCGCTGATCATATAAACCGTTATACGACAGTATGGTTATATCATGGTCATTGCACATTCATCCACTATCCACGTGGGCCCCACCGATCACAATAAAAAATTCACACCTCTCTCTCTCTCACACACACACACACACACTATCACACCACGCACGCACGGGGGACACACACATTCACACAGTCTGAATCGCGGGCGACCACCCCGCGTCATCGTCGCCTTCTGCCGTTGGCGTCGACAGCCACCAGGCGCATTTTGCAGACGACCAAATTCGTCTCCAACAGACCAACACAAATTATGCGGCCATTGACCGAGGACGGCCAAATCGGCCAATTTGCCGGTGGTTCTCTCAAGCTATCACTCTTCCGACGTCGAGGGCCTTCGATTCGACGGTCAGTTCGTGTCTTCCTCCGCGATCTGGAGCCCGCTGCCACCGGAGATTTTTCATCGTCCTTCGCAGCCTTCTTGGTGACGTTCCTATCCGCCGACCACAAGGACACGACCTTAATCACTGGAGGTCCGTTCACTAGGACGGATGTCGGATGTTTGTGCTAAAATCGGGTGGTTTGCAAAGTCAGATGTTAAGATTTAGTTTTTAGACATGTTGGAAATTTGACATCCCATAGGGACTCATTTGCTATATTAGGATTTTTTTTAATATATTACAATTTGGTTTTTGGGTTAATTATGTAATTTATCAAAACTCTAATAATTTCATATTTCTGTTCAAAGCACTGCATATTAATGTTAGTTATATTGCACATCAACCATAAATAAATTGCACAATAGCGTGAGTGTATACGCATTTTATAAATTGAAAAATTTACAAAATTTAACAACGCGCTCCATAATGCTCAATATTATTTGTCGGTTGGTTCGACTGTAACTGACCTACCAGAACGTTAAAACTAAAATATCGAGGCGAATATTTGGAAAATTTAAACCAACCGAACTATTGTCCAAAACCGAATTAAAACCGCAGCGAATTACTCGGCTCATTCGATCGGCTAATCGATTCGAAGTGAAAAAAAATTAGTTCGCCCGGTATCCTTTGTTAGTGTGTATTATAATCGTCATTAATGTAAATTTTGTGTAATACTAATGTGTACCCGCCATACATATAAATAATGATAATAATAATATAAATTTTCATATTCACGAATCAGCGCAAACATAATTTTTGTCCAAAATCAAGTTATTCATATTAAAATTATATTTAATATGTTAATAAATTTATTTATTATCTTTATATTATTCCTGGTTGAAAAAAAATTGTTTTCGGTCGATTTTGATCTCTATTGTGCAATCTGATATTTGTGATAAAGTGCAGTGTGTTGTTTGTAAAGTGCAACGGGTTGTTTTATAAAGTTCAATACGTTGATATATAAAGTGAGACGCTGTTATTTTGGTACATGTTGCTTGTGTTTTGTGTGGATAAGTGATGTGGTTGATGTCAAAGTATTATGTATATCCGTTATTTAAATTTACGTTGTATGGTATTTTTTGCATGAGATTTTGACGATAATTGTAAAGTGTGGTGATAAAGCGCAACGCGTTGTTTATAATGTGCAACTTATTGTTTTATAAAGTGCATCGTGCTTATAATTAAAATGCACTCCTTTAAAAAATGTCAATAAAACCATAATTCCCTAATTTTAATTTATTATTAAAATAATTGAAATAATTTATTATTTATATTATAAAAATATAACTAATATTTTAATTTATTTATATAATGTTTTTTAATTTTTTTCTGAATAAAATATATTATACATGTATAAAGGAAAAATGTACAAAAAAATATTTTTATATATATAAAAAACAATATTTTTAATATATTTTTTTATATATTACCAATTTGGCCCATGTACTAAATTGAGATATGATTAAATTTTGAAATTAGTTAAATTATAATTTTGACCCATGAATTAAATTGTAATTTAGTTAAATTAATAGATTTTACAAACAAGTCCTCGCCACTTATCAAATTCTCCATAGAGGTCCTTGAAACCTAAACTTTTTTTTTTTTTTTTCAGACGGTCGTCGCCTGCTTGTTGTCTCCTATCGTCGGTCGTCGTCACATGTTGGTTACTCCATCCGGCGCCGGCCGGCGGATGGCTAATCACTCATTAAAAAAACAAAAAAAGTCGGGGTTGATGGCGGAGGCGGAAGGCCGGCGGCCCAAAGACTTCAGACGACTCGCGTTGCGCCTCATTGTCGCTGCCAAAGACGTCAGACGCTATTTCACTCCACAAGAACATCGTCTTCATGCTACCAGAAAAAAAAAATCGGCTTGCCGGTGTTGACGTTGGAGCGGCGGCGTTGGGATGCTCCTGCAGTGACGACTGTGCCGTTGTGGCCGAGAGTGGCCCAGGGTCAGCCACCGACAGACATGTTGACGGTGACGACCAGTAAGTCACATTGAGTGATGTGCAGGTGTGTGTGTGTGTGTTTGTGTGTGTGTGTGTGTTGTGTGCGTGTGTGCGTGTGTTGTGCGTGTGTAGATGGGTGCTGATGTGGCGTGTGTGTATTTGTGTGAGTGAGTGAGAGAGAGATGTAATGAGAGAGAGGTTGTTAGGTGGCAGGTAGTCCAAAAATGAGTGGTTCTGTGGTAGCGTGAGCCCCAATATTTGTGTGTCAAAATTACCACATTAACTTTAGTGAAAACATAATTTTGGTTTTTTTTAGCCATTAGATCATTCGATCTAATGATTACGATTTATTCTTATTTCTTTCATTTAGCACATTCTCACTTGAACTCAACCCTATATTATATATGTATATA